TGCCCTTGTAATGGTGCACGACCTCGCCTGAAAGAGTCTCTCGTTCCTGATTTTCCATAGAATCCAGAGTAGCCTGTAACAAATAGCAACAAATCTCTTTCGTTTCTTTGGACATCTGCCCCACGTAGCAGCAAACTCAGTGATATATCCCACATGTTGTGCATCAAAATCTTGAATATTACACCATCTTAAGATTTTGGACCTCACCATCGTGGCAAAAGGGCATCGAATAAGTATGTGATTGACACATTCTAAACCATTAATACATGATCCACAGTATGAAGAATCGATATTGATACCTCTGCTCGCCAAAGCCAAAGCGGAAGGTATTCGACCTTGGGCAGCCCTCCATATGAACGTTGTGACTTTGATAGGGATTAGTTTACTCCAGATAATCTTTAGTTGCAAAAGATTAGGTATAGGACTTCTGTCGATCTTTCTCCTTAGTAAGCAGACTTTGTATCTTCCATCAGCAGCTAATGGACATATAACTTGGTCTGATTTATCACCGATGTGCGTGTTTGCAATCACATTGGTTAGCCTTGTCACCTCCTCCGATAAACCATATCCTGTAGGGCAAGACTTCCAATCCCACGTGACTCCGTCACGATATATTCTTTCACCTACTAAGCATCTTTTTTGTGATTCAAGATTGTACAGTTCCGGAAAAATTGTCTTCAATTTGCCCGCATCCGACCAAAAATCATGCCAAAATTGAGTTCTGTCTCCAGATTTTATAATTAGATTGAAGATATTGTAGAATCCAAAACCCATATCCTCAATGTCCTTTTTTGTTGCTGCCACGTTTTTCCACACACCTGTTACTGATTTCTTGGAGAGTTAGTCAATAGGTTTATTGATTAAGTTGTGTATTCCAGAAATAACCTTGGCCCAAATTGATGATTCCTATGTCTTGAGTCTCCACCACCATTTAACAAGGAGAGCAATGTTCAAGGCTTTGATAGATCCCACTCCAAGACCACCATCTTGTTTTGATGCTATAATTTTCTCCCATGCAACCCAATGAATCTTTTTTGCCTCATTACTGCCACCCCATAAGAATTTCCTACGTAATTTTTCCAGAGTGTCAATAACCCCACTGGGGGCTTTGAATAATGACAGGTAATAAGTAGGATGGTGTTATCCTCAATGTCCTTTTTATATTTAGCTTGTAGCTAAAGTTTAGGCCTTCTATTATGTTTCCTATTTATTACCGATATTGTGATTAATGAAATCAAGAAATAAATTACCTTTGATACCATCGTTTTATAGAGAACAGCAAACGAAAAGCGATTGCTGTGAGTGGGATGGTGTCGAATATGGTGGGGAAAGAACACGTGCGTTCTTCCAACAATAGAACAGGGGTTTCGGAATTCAATGCGTCCGCTGCTGTTGAGAAGGTTTTAAGCATTCATAGAATTTAGTTATGGATTTTTATTTTATACTATACTATACGTTTTAAATATGGATCATGTGGCTGAAACGGATGCATGTTCATCTGTCGTCGATTAATTTAATTTTCATATTGTCAGACATGTGAAGCAACTCGTGATGCTACCAAGCGTTCAAACACAAGAAAGCCCTTAAAAATCAAAGATGCATTGATAAAATTATATCGCTTTTTATTACGTTTCATGTGCCTGAAACTGAATATTTTTTGGATATCGGTGACGATAAGTTTTCTGTCATCTAACATATTCTTGTTGCTGACAGTTAGAGAGATTTCCGTCTAAGAATGATGGTAATATTGGTAATTACAGGTAAGAGACTCCAATTAATTCATCTGAGATTAGCTTTTTTGCAGAAATTAATTAGATTACTTTGTTTTGTATTGATACCATATGATGTTAATTGGTTCCAATAATTTTTAATTTGGGTGGTTTTTACTAAACATGGATCTTGTAACTTGTTGTAGGAGTTATGCTAGTGTTGTTTCTCCAACTCTTACTCCATCTGGCTCCTTTGAAAATCACATAAATCGAATCACAATCAATTTAAGTGGGCAGAGTGTGGAAGATGGAATTTATTATTTGAAAAAGCACCTTATATTTGGTGTATATTGTGGAAGTAAGTATCTACTTCATTAATTAATATATATTTATTTATATAATTATATATATAGTCTTTTAGGCTATGTTTGGCGTACTAGCTGAAAAACTAGCTGATAGCTGAAAAGCTAGCCGATAAAAAATAACGTTTGGTAAAACTTGCTGAAAAGCTAGCTGAAATATATAAAATTACATAAAAAGGCATGTAAGAGTATGTGTTTCTATAATTAATTAAGGGGTGTATTTGGAAAATTTTAAAAAAGCTCCTAAAAAGCTAGTCTAGCTAGCTTTTCAAAAAGCTAGCTTATAAGCTACTTTTTGGCTTACCAAACACGACAACATAAAAAAGCTCGAAAAAAAAGCTAGCTTATCAGCTAGCTGTGGCGCGCCAAACACAGCCTTAATCGTTGTAGTCTACAGCTCTGGTGCATCTCCATGTCAACACGGGATATGACGGGTCGGATCTAAAACAAGCGGTATGAATCAAGTCTAGTTTGTTTATTTATTTATTTGGGTATATGATATATGTATGATTTTTCTAACTTAAATTGTGGGATGCTTGTTGAAGGTTACGGATCTCTTAGATGATGAAGGTATCAAGTGGAAGCAGGAAGAAGACCCACGATGTGTCCTAATCACATTCGATCGGGAGAAGAAAGAGTTGAAATTCAATAAAGGTGGTAGAAATTCCGGTTACCTTATTTTGATCGATTGACATTTCAATGTGGTATAATAATGACACAGATATGAAGGTGTTTGCTTATTTGAAGGAAGTTGTGTTTATGCTCTATACAAGTTTTAGTGTTTGTTAGCTTATGTGGTATTAAAACTAAAGTACCAAAATTAGTTACTAATATTTTTTGTTTTCTCTAAAAATTATCTTTATGTATTTTTTTTAAACTTGGATTTGTTTTTTTTTAATTTTTTGTCTCTTAAATCTCAATATCAAATTAGATTTCATGTGCAATCGATGAACAATGTTGGTTCAACAACTAAGGAGTTGTTTGTTTTTTCGAAGCGAAAACGGCTGGATGTCTGTAACCCTATACAGTAGAAGAGGTGAACCAAACGAGCAGTAAACTGAAATTAACTATAGAATAGTTAAAAGTAAATCTAAATAAAAAAAATTATTTAGTTTAATCAATATGCAAATCAAATATAAAGATCATTGTGATGATATGATTTTTTAACAAAGTTTATATAAAAGAATTAAACATAATATTTGTTAAATAACAATAAATAAAATTGTTAATTGCGCTAAAAACATATTCATTTTTGTTAAAAGTTTAAAGACAGTGACTATTTTTTCGGTTAACTTCAATACATTTGATAATTTTAATGATTAACTTTATAATTTATTAATATTTGGTTATAAACAATCTAATACAAAAAATATTTATATGAAATTTACCAAACGGTTTAGAAATTATTTGAAATTATGTAAAATATACTCCGATTGTTTATAATACTCTTCAAATATTATTAAAATAATAAACATGTTGTTGAAAAAAAAATTAAAACAAATCTAAATTGAATAATATAACTTAATGTAAGTGAGAAGTGGTTTGAAAAAATTAAAACAAATCTAAATTGAATAATATAACTTAATGTAAGTGAGAAGTGGTTTGAAAATGATGGTTCAGTGTGGCGTAACGCAACACACGCGCAACTGTTTTTAAGTTAGAAGACTTCAAAAAAACAAACATTTGCAAAAGGCCAAGTGTTGCGCGACATAACAAGAAGTGGTCAGATGTGGTTTTTCCAAAAAAACAAACAATACCTAAGTCTCCACTTATAATACAAGAAAAATACATTCAACAGATTATGCGTATGAAAGTGGTTTGATCGATTTCACTAAGAAAAAACTGTGGAGATCAATTGAAGAAATCCGGTCATTCCAAAAGTGTAGGTTGATCTGGTTATTGCTATGAAATTGTTCCAAAAGTATGGGTTTGAATTTTGGAACCAAATAGTCAAATTTAGATGATTTAGATCATGAAATAGTAAACGAACAAAGTGATATATACAACAAGTTCTCAATGCGAGAAGATCGAATAAATTAACTTGTGTTTTATATTTCTGAACATGATCAAATGTATAAAAACAAAACTAAACTTTGGTTGAATATATAGAAGCATAGTTCTTGAAGTATATCACCGTACATCTTTGTATAACCTTAGGGTGCATAGAGTCATGGCCGGTGAGGAAAAAGAGGTTGTAAAAGATTTGCAATTCTTTCGTCAACCACATGATCATTTGACTGAATGGATGCAGATTGTGGTGCTCACTCGCAAGTGAGAACTAGCACATATTTTTCTTCATTCATGGATGGAGGTTTAGAATTTATTTTGGAAATTAATTGTCATTTTAGGATTTCGATTATCCTTTTTAGGTTTTAAGTTTTCGTTTGTAGTAGTGTATTTTTCTCAATGAAATGTTATTTTGAATTTGAATTTTATTTATTTAATTTTAACTTAGTAAACACCTTTGCTTTCTTATTATTTATTTAAAGGTTTTAATATATTTTTTTAAAACAAAAATGTGTGGATTTGGCATGGTTAGAAAAGATGGATTGCTTGTGTTGTGGGTCCAGAAAGATAGAAGTAAGACGAGGGAGAACAAATGCTTCCCTTCCCAATCTGTAACTCATAGTTCATTTGATGTTTTACATAGGTATTTTTGTAGACCATACAAATCATATAGAAAAGAATATTGTTTTTTAATGTATCGTTTTCCACATCTACCAATCTTACCTTGATCAATAGTGCATAAATTAACCCTTCAATAGGTATGTGTCTACTCATTTCATTGGATCCAAGTATACACCTCCATTATTTCCTAATGACTGCCTTAGCACAAGATTCATGCCCATTATTTTATCAACAATCATCATAACACGCTTCATACGTCAATTCATCTGATTCAATAGCATTCCACACCATACACTCTCCTTTAAGATCACAATCCTTAAATCCTTTAAATGTTAGAGTATCTATTTAGGCATCATACTTTCAACTTATGCTCAAATAAGCACTTTTAACACCTTTCTAAACCATCACTATAGTATTTACTACATGTGGTTGGAATGATAATCAATGCATTATCATCTCCACTATGATACCCTCGATGCTCCACATTACTCATTAGGGTAATGTACTTCCATCAAAGCAACATGTTCATTGCCTTATCATATATTTGCTTGTAAAAACACACACCTCCCATATTCATCACTTGCATCTAAAACCACAAGTCATATAAAACTTGTGTGTTACATAAAGTTCTTCACAATTCATATTCATTTGGATAGTCTTTTAATCCAAGATATGAAGATGATTCACATTGTTTGTTTCAAGGGACAAGGGTATTCACTATATAGAAAAACCGATCACTCAAGATTTTCAAATCCATCAAAAAAAACTCTAATCCTGATCTCATCATTTTGAAATTATGAAATGAACAATGCGAGGAATCCTAAAAATAGGAGTCGATTTACACATTTATACAAAGTACTATTTGAATTCATATCATCTAAAAATGCTACTCACATATGTTGATACACATTTAACCAAAAACACCAAACGATTACTACTTCATATTTGCAAGAATTGACATCAACTATCATTTAACATCTTCAAGCATGGCTTCAAGCTCTGGTTTACCAAAAGGTTGACCACTAGAATTAGCATCAATGGACTTCACAGACAAGTAATACATCATCCACGCAACCATGAAATAAACCTCCATGAAAGACTGTAAAGCTACAGCAAAGAACACCCCAAAATGTTGTGAAATCACCCATCTAACATATCTCCCACAAACTACAACTTCAAAAAACATAAGATTAACAGCAGGTTGAAGCCTTAATGACAGTAAATGATAACCTTCTTTCACAATTTCTCTCCAGCTTCTTCTTGAACCCGCCATAACTATCCAAGCTACCACAGCAAAAGCATAAGACATGAACAAGTCTAATATGATCCATGATTTTAGGAACCAGTAAATCTCCTTCTCATAACCTTTAACCCAAGGGGACATGATTGAAAATGGCATGAACTTGTACCTAAGGAAGATCTTTAAGAAGGAATATTGATCTTTGATTGATACGAAGAAACAGAAGCCCAATAGATGAGTGAGAGCATCCCTGATTGCCCATCTCATGAGAATGAAGGGAGATAATCTTTTCACACCCAAAAACAAACCAATTGAGAAGTTAATGGCGAAAGAGTTGTGACTCTCACAGAAATCATTCAGTACCAATAGGAATATAACTCCATGAACTATAGTATAAGTAGCAACGAATCCAAGAATCATAAACCAATACGAAGCAGAGAGAGCACCAATGAGAAACAACAATGCAGTAAAATCATGGTGTTCGAGGCCAAACCTCTTCAAGAAGAACTGGAATTCGGATTCACTTTCAGCCATTTCGTTCAATGGAGCAGAATCGTTGCTTCTATGGATGACGACGTTTTCTTCTTTCTCTATGATCTCGATTAATGTGAAAGTCATCTTAGCAGTAGAACGCACAGTTTCAGATGCCCTAATTCCATTATCGGATACGGAATCGGAGAATCCGAATTGGGGATCGAAGGTGTCAAGTATGAATGAAGTGGCATTTGATTGGGGTTTTAGGAGGCTGCTGCCAAAACATCGATGATCGAACTCGTAGTCTCCCGGGAAGGAATCATCGTCTAGAGTCCTAGTCCTGACGCGGGTGAGCTGGGGGAAGCGGCGGCGTCTGGTGGTGATGTTGGAGGTAGGGGAGGTGGTATTGGGAGGGCCGTGAATTCGATAGATGAGGGGTTTTATGGAAGGGTCGTTATCAATGAAGGAAGTGAGGGAATGGGTAGTCATTTCGACGTTAACGCGTATAGAAAGCACCAAGAGGGAAAGAAAGAGAAGCATCTGGAGGTTGTTGGGGTTGAAGAAGATGGAGATGATTTGCTTGAGGATATCAGTAGTAGTCCGGAGAACGACTATGCGCGGCGGCGGCGGCAGCCGCGGTGCAGGATGCTCGTTCATGGCGATGGGTTTTGCCGATGAATTATAACTGATCTTGAGTTTCTGTTATTGATTACAATTTAGATGTGCACAGTGATAAACTGTGATTCACTGATTCGGTACAAAATTTCAATTCAACCAACTTCCCTCCAATTCTTTGATCCTCTCCAATGGCAGCATGCGTTTCTTCGTTGAAATTTCTCGCTTTGTTGCTGGGGAGAAATCAATTTATAAGGACCTCTCACACGTGTATGTAATGAGTTTATTATATTTCTTGTGATAGAAAAACGGTTTATAATGTATTATTCCACTCGTATATCCAAGTTATCAAAGGATTTTAGATTTTTGTTTTATGATACCAAACTCGATTGGGGGGTTTTGTGATAGATGTCAAACTCATGCTCTTGGATCTAACGTGATTTGTTTGCATAATGTTTATGAAAATAATGAATTTTGTCAAGAAAATTAGGATAGGAATTAATTAAAATTAGTTATGTATTTTGTTGACATTGAATAAAAAATGTTTTCTTTTTGGTTTATGGATTTATCAAAAAAAACTAGAATGTAATTACGTAATTTGACCAAAATTCATTTTGATTATAACTAGAGCAAATATACCGGAATATACAAGGGGTATTATCGTCATTTAACCCCAACGAGATCCTTTTTCGAATCCCATCATAATGCATCGGAATTAGTAATTCCAAAAGATTTGATTACTCCGATATTTTTTCTTAACATAAGTTGCAATCAATTCCTTATAACTCCACCTCTTCTTCCCTCTATTAAACTCCAAAAGTGGCTCCGAACTAGAATGAAAATCACCTTTCCCCAACACCTCAAACACAAGATGATCAGTTAACACAACACCCGAATCATTCACATTCATTTTCCTCAAAGCAAAGTCCAAATTTTTCCCTAATCTCCTATCCAAATACGCATCAACAACACAACCATAAGTCACAAGATCCGGGAAAATTCCATTATGTTTCATATGTTCAAGGCTCAAATGCAAATCCCAAAACAAAGACATCTTTGAGAAAGCCACAGCTCGAATATTAAAAGTGGTCAAATCAGGTTCATATCCAGCTTCCAACATATTTAAAAACTCTCTTTGTAAACTCTTCATTTTAAAATTTGCAGCATATGACAATAACAATAAGTTCCAAAGAAGATTTCCTACATTTCTCCTACCAAGACCCACATCCCTTAAAAAGCTACCCAAACTATGAAACTTTTTGTCCCTTATATAAGCAACAGAAATTGCCCTAATCCCATCTTTTTCAACCAAAAGTCTTGAGCTTTTTAGACGTTTGTAAGCATTTTCCATCATGGGTATTGAACCAAAACGACTATAATATATGATATAAGCATTACCCATAACAGAATCAACAAGAAATCCCTTTGAGACCATATCTTTTAATGTATTCTCCATTAGTTCAAGCTCTCCTATCTTACCAAAACAAGATATGGTGTGTGCATAAACTTGGTGTTGTAATTCAGGATGCCTGAGACTAATTTGATGTATAATTTGGATTACTTCATCAAAAAGCCTCCCTTCAATGTAAGCATCAATTAGCCCCAAAACTGTGTGAATATCAAGATTATAACAACTGTTTATAATTTCATTCCATATGGAATCTGCCTGTGTGAAAAATCCATTATTTGCATTGTATAACATCAAAGTTGTCATGGTAGAATTGTCTTCAGATTGCAATTTATGGACATGTGTTCCCTTTCTGTTTAAACTTGGAATAATAGAAGCACAGTTTTTATGATTATCCTGCGTAGAAATATAAGGAAAAGTAACAAGTGTTACATCAATCAATCAACCACTCATACATCAGTTGTAAGGAGAAAATGGCTTACCTTTTGAGCTGAACTTCTACCATGTGACTTCTTATGGCTGCAGAATGTCCTCCAACCAATCAATTTGGCTTCAATAGGATGAGGTACAGAAAGAACAGAGATAGCTTCCATACCTGAAACCTGAAACAAAATTTCATTTCGACTTTTAAGTTGGCTATTTGCTAATCGAAATTATTTGAACAATTCAACTTCTGATGCAAAGATTTCATAGTGAAAAACAAAAAGAACATAGATTAGTTCATGAACTAGAAAATCATAAAGAATTAATGTGGGTCGTGGTCTGTGGATTGGAAAAAATCAGAAAATTACAAAACTAAGAGATAAAAGAAGGCACTTCAAAGGGGTAAATTTCACAAAATCCGATTAATACAAGCAACAAAAAATAATATAGAAAAGGAATACCAATGAGGCAATGACCGAATTTGAATTTAAGATATGATCGAGTTGACTGTTGAGAACCTACGTGAGACGACGGATGTTGTGGAAACGATTGCGGTGGAGGACCAGTGACTGCTTGAACACGATGGTGGTGATGGATGGAACATATGACGATGATGGTGGGAGACGACGACGGTGGAGGGTGGTGCTGCTTAAAGACGATGATAATGATGACTAAAGACAATGGAGGCTGGCAGATTGCTTGAAGGCGAAGGGGATGAAGAAATGGGGGAGATAAACGATGAGATGGGTTTATGTGATAGATTTAATGGGTTTTTATTTAATTTAAATTAAAATATAGAAAATAAAAATAATAAAAAAAATCTAATAAGGGGTAAAATAGTAATTCCAAATCAAATTTATACGAAATTACATATCTTCTAAAAACCAAAGTTTATTATTCTATTATGTTGTTTGACTTTCAGCCTTCCTGATTACGTTCATGAAGTAAAGTTTAGTACATTGAAAATTAGGGTTACTTGCTTCTCTATTTCGTATTCCTTTAACAATGAATTTCCATAAAGGCAACATATTTTTAACAGCTACTCATTTGTAGTATAAGGTTAAAAAAGAAAAGTGTAAGAGCAAAATAAATGTAAATTTTAAATTGGTGTTGCAACGACCATAACAAGGCTGCCTTTACCAGGCAGTGTCTTTTTCTCAGAAGCAGACAACTGCCACCTTTAATCACCCCCAAACATTTACCACCAATGGTTTATATGCTTTAATGTGTAAATCACTTCAAAATTTTAATTATATCAAATGAAGATTCATCATATTAATCTACAAAGATTAGTCTACAGTAATTAAATCATATTACAGCAGTTGAAATATGTACTTTCAGTCTTCTTTCTTAATATCATATGTAAGAATA